GGTAGTTATTTAATTAAATCTTGCAGTGCAAAGACACAATTAATAATATCTTTACACTTTCCACATTTCTGCGTTATTTAAACCATTCAAATTAATATAATTAATCAGATTTTTTTAATTATCACAATTCAAATTATCTGTTAACACACCATGCTTCGACCTCTCTTCCATGCTAAGGTCACATTATACCATTCATTAGACTTGGAAAGAAAAACCTCCGGTGAATACTTTGCACAAGCTTCATGAGTCCAGAAAATCTTTTGTTTTTCACCATGACGCGTATAAGTATTGGTAACAAAAGGTTGTGGCCCTATGAAACCGCCAAGCTGCTGACCATCATCATCATTGCAAAAACCGCAGATCTTACGCGAGTTCCACGCTTGCAAATAAAGGTATCCCATGCCACTATCCAGTTGCACATTTTCGTTCACCAGGTCAATGCCTGGGTCTTTATAAGTTGTGTCAAAAACGTCTTTATCAAATGTTTTGATGACTTCACCCTTTGAAGACATTTTAATTGCTTCATCATCAATCACCGATTGACATGCAAAAGAACATCGTGGATGTTCATGATAACTTGGAAATTGATGAGCATAACACCTTATATAAGGCGAAATTTTACAATTCAGTTAATCCGTTATCTCTGATTTTGCTTAAAAACAGCTTAAAAACATGGCTTAGAACACGTCTTACCATACACATAATTCGAAACTTTTATAATCATTTCCTTCTGACGGCGTTTCGCAATAAGTGCAATAATATCTATAAAAAATCGCAACGTAAAAAAATGATATAAATATATACTGTATATTTCTTTTTGGATAAAGGAATAACTAAGCTATATACCGTAGTGCACCGCCTAAAAGGCCCTGGTCTAATACAAAATAAAATGCCCACTAAAAAAACACCCGGCATCTTATCTGGGTATGACATATATGTGTAATGTATGTAATGCAGAAATTAATGTGGTAGCACGAAAAATACTGTGCAAAAATACCCGGATATTACTATCGGTAAAAAATATGCTATGTGAAAATACTCCAGGTATCTTGCATGGAATACTGAAAAAGGGATTTTAAGCAGTGCACTGTGATATAGATGTTTACTTTCTATAATCTACTGTACCTAAATTGTTTTATTATCACGTTACATTGATTGCAATATATGCACCATTTTTGCTTCGCTATTAATGTCAAAGTAAAGATATTATTAATTGTGTCTTTGCACTGCAAGATTTAATTAAATAACTACCTGTCATATCTAAAGGTAGAGTGTCAATATCTATGAATTCCAAAGAATCATCAACAGTCTCTAATTTATTCTTCTTTTTACGGTCGTCTTTTTTTTGCTTGTCCTTATTATCTTGACCAACCACACACGTTTCATTAGCCTTTACAGGTTTCATGCGCAATCTTTCGCTACTAATGTCTATCCATTCGTCATAAAATGCCGGGACATCATCATAATGAATCAGGACGCGACAGCCTTTCGATTCAACTATTGTTGCTGGTACCCATTCTCTTAACCTATCGCGTACTTCTATCTGATTTCCTGGTTTGAATCGTGCCTTTAACTGAGTAAGTATGTTTGAATTACTCAAAAGTTTATCATTACGTATACTGCGACGTGTATTACGACCAATATAAAAGTCATTCCAGTCAAATGAAGCTAAAGAATCGGTAGATTCACTTTGTTGACTTCGGATATCAGAATCACCGTCATATTGATAATCTCTCTTTTTAGATTGAATGTTTTTCGTTTGCGAAGAACTTTTTTTTGAAGAACTCGAAACTGACGAAGATTTGTTCTGGCCTTTGGCACGTATTCTACTTTTGTTATGAGGTATTAACATTGATTCATTTTCACCAAATATTTCTATACTTTCATCTTCCAAAGCCTTTTGTGCCTCTAATATTTCATCTAACGTCATATCCTTCATTCTTTGACTTCCTGCTGGCACCCATTCATCAAATTTATCACTCCAACCATCAAAATGCACACGAATACGCCCATTTGCAACATCAACCTGCGTGGCCGGATACCATTTACTATCACGACCTAGGATTTTGACACGTTTTTGAGGTTGAAACCCGTATTGTCCAGCACGCCTAAAACGAATTGTGTTATCGTCATCAAAAAGAGTTCGACAATAAGAGCATAAATCAAGGCTGCCAACTCTTTGAACGTTTACATGCATAATTTTGCAAGATTCACATAATGACTCTTTTGGTTGAGAAGGCTTTGGCTCAGGAACACTTTGTCGACTTAATGTTACATTTTTACGATAACTAGTCCTGCGTCTTAATCGTGCAGAATCAATACTATTACTATTGCCAACAGTGTTATATTCGGAATCACTTTCGTCACTTAGAGTTGTTAACTCTGATTCAGGGCTGTTACTACTAGAACCAGCATCTGATTCGGAATCTGTATCGGGACAGCTGCTGAGTGATTCTGAATCTGAACCATCAATTATAGAAAGCATAGAACGACTCTTATCATTATCATTATTTAGATTATTATTACTACTACTATTATTATTATTATTATTATTATTATTATTACTATAATCATTATTATTATGACTATTATTATTATTATTAGCTTCAATGTCAATATTTCTCTCTGAGCTACTTTCGGATTTTGAATCCTTTTGCAAATCTGTTGACGCTACTCCAATGTCAGAATTGTCCTTTTTAATTGGTTTAGATAAGCAATTTGGATTATCGTCAGCCGTATGCACTTTTAATCTTCGGCTATCTACAGAAATCCATTCATCAAACTCTC